TGCAGAATTTTGACGAGACTGCATACACCCTGCCTGTACTTCGACCAGCCTATCGCGCCACCATTGCAGGTATTTTGAGCCAATTACAATATTCCTTTTTCCATTGGGGTTATGCACAACATGCTGCAGTTCTATGTTGTTGAATACCTTTTTCATCGTCTGCTATGTAAGTTCAGTCATGGCTGTTATTGTAAGGTACTGTGAGTACCCGAGGTACCTTAACTGCTAGGAAAAATATTCCCTTTTTATTGTGATCATCCTCACACTCTCCTGACCGTGAAATCAAATTTAATTTAGTGGAAAGAGTACCCCTCACTGGAAAAACAAAGGTCTAATTAGGCACATGGACCATGGACCCTATTCTCCAAGCCCATGATTGTGCAGGCAAAGGTGTTGTAAGAGTTCCTAGAATCTCATGAGTTCCCACAACATTTTTGTATGCTCAATCCATGGCTTCCATGTGCCTTAGCCCCCTTGTTAGCACCTCTTAATAGGCGCTAATGTTTTCTCGAGTGTACTCCCAGAAAACATGATGACGTTTGTTTTTTCTCCTCAAAACTTACTATTATGAAACCAAAGTGAGGGCCATTTAATGAAACACCTCATACAACTTTCTGTACCTCAGCCATGCCGCCTGCGACGAGGACTCTCTGCATCGGGGAGGTGATGGCACTCCTTCCAAGCCCCTCGGATCTACTGACGAAGACTTCTTCGAAGTGGTTCGACGACCCCGACCTGCAGGTAGATAAACCAGAAAACGTAAAGCCGAAAGGTGATTGTACTGCAACTGTGAAGGTTCCCCCACAATTGACGTCCCCAGCCCGCGAGGAGACGAAACGTTTCACCTCGGGCAACGTTTGTTCGTGTTGGTGCACCTTGAGAGACCTGCTCTGACTAAAACGTTTACGCTCAGGGCAACGACCCGGCTCGCATGGCGCTGTTCTGGGGGTTCCATAGCGCCCGACACCTCGCCGGCGGGGCGGGGGCCGCGGCCCCGGGCCCAGCACCACCGAGCCTGTCCATGTGGAACAGCCCGCTTCCCTCCTCAGGGGTCGTGAAGAATGAAGAGCACATCGCGAAGGACGAGAACGGCAACGTCGTCAGGGGGCGACGGAGGATAGGGAGTGCAGAGGTCTTTCCCGTGAAGATGCAGCAGGTCCCCGTCAAAGAGCAGGCTGGCCTCTCCGTCAGTTCTCAGACCTCCCCCGCGGAGGTGCAGCAGGTGCCCGCCGTAGTGGACGCTGGCGCACCTGCTAGCCCTGCGATCTCCCCCGTGAAGGTGCTGCAGCAGGGGCCCGTCGAAGCGGAGGCTGGCGCGCTGGCCAGTGCTGAGGCCCCCCTCGTGGAGGAGCAGCAGCAGGTCCCCGCGCACAGCGCCCTCACCATGGAGAGCGACTCTCCCGTCAGCAATTGGCAGGCGATACCGGCCGCCGAGCTGGAGTCGTGCACCGCGAGAGCCGGGGGCCCCAGCGCCGGCGCGGACGGGGCCACGGAGGACACAGTGCTGTCCTCTGTGGACGGGGCCCCCACGGGACAGCCCGGTTGCACGGACGAGTCTGCGGGAACAGATGCTGCGGGTAATCGAAATAACGTTACGTGAGGTTATTTGGGCGTTCCTCTCCGATCGTTCACCTTTAGCCTCGCTCTTTTATTTGTTGTGTACAGTTACAGCATTTCTTCATTCGATGTACGAGTCAACTCGCACGTCGCGCTCACCGGAGTTCGTCCCGCCCCAGTGGGGCTCGGCTCACCAGAGCCACCAACACGCTTCACCAGCTGAGGCTACTCCTGGCACGGCTTCCGCGGCTCCGTCTCTGACGGTTTCCTACCCCCTTTACCTGTATGGGGGAACCAAGTATCAATGCCCAGTGCCGTCTGGTAGTGAACCTACAGGTAAGCTCCCCTCCAACCCTTCGACAGACCGCTTGTGTTTTGCTGGCTACATCTTTTTGTTTAACGACTCTGTTCTTCTCACCAACTTTTCTTAGGATTTTCCACCCAGTTCCTGACACCAGATCAGTCTCAGTATGGATGCCAATTGCCTCAGTACGGCTGTGAGTTACCCCCTCACTTGCTTCAAAAGAAAACAGCACAGCAGAGCAGCTTGGATGTGGAGGTGTGAACGTTTGCCTACTCTTGCGTCGTGTGTTGTGGGTACAACACTGCAGTGATGCGTTTTTGCCTACTTGCTCCGCCCTTGTAGTAGGCAAGCCCACAGCACTGTGGTGTTGTAGCCCTAACACATGGTACATACATACAGAGACTGCCATTTAACTATGTTCCCGACTACTTCCATGTTTTTAGTTCTTTTCTTCTTCTTGTAGGCACCGGCTGCTAGTAGGCCTAACAGAATCTCATTTAATATAAAGGAGCTCAAGAAACGAATAACAACCCACCTCAAACCTTGCGGTCCCGACCCAAACACCTAACGTGTTTTCCATTGTAATCTGGTTTTTAATATTGTTTCTGTTAATTACTGTTGATTATGT